TGCCCTTGTAGCGGTAGAGATGCGCGCAGACCATGAAATATAGCAGATTGCCTACTCCCAAGGCGGCGATCAGGTAGTAGTAGTAGTCTACCCTGCCGACGTTGATGTCGTCGTCCAGCCAACTGGCTCGGCCTGGCCCTCCGGTTCTCTTTTGGACGAAGGCGATGAGAAAGGAGCTCAGGTAGCTCGCACCCGCCAGGCTGCAGTGGAAGAGCGACCCTGCCAACGTCTGCATGTGCTCCGGGAACTGCCGGTTGTAGAACTCCACCTGCCCGACCGCGTTGAAGGCCTCGGCGACGCCCATCAGGCAGAGTTGCGGCGCGAGCCACATCGCCGAGAGGGGGGAGCTCCCGTCCGCGCCGCCGTGGGCTAGAGCTGAGTCCCTCCTCTTCTTCTCCACTAAACCGGCCACCACCATGGACAGTATGGCGATGGCCATCCCGGCGCCTTGCCTCTGTAGGAGTGTGATCCCGCCCTCGACCCCGGTGATGCTCGTGGCCATGGGAACGAGGATTTGGTCGTAGACAGGGATGAAGAGGACTATGGCCATCAAGCAGATGATGCCCAGGGAGCCAGGAGGGATCTGAAAGCTCGGGCCGAGATGGCGGTCCATTTTCATGGACTGGAGAGCCGCCAGAGTCCACTGTTGTGTCAGGGCGACGAAGCAGATGATGCCGGAGGCCCAGATGGGCACGATGCGCGTCAGGCATTTCACCTCCTCGATCTGCTGCACACTGCACAGTTTCCAGGGATCTGCAGAGCGACCGTCTTCCTTCATGTCGCCCTCACATACTATAGCAGCCTTGTTCAAGAACCTGCAAAGAAGTACCAACCGATCGCATCTAATGGAGAACGCCGTTTCCATTGCATGTTCAGAAGGGGGCTTTATACCTGAACTGAAGTGTCAGGGGAAGCTTCATCACCACGGTGCTCTTCCTAGCATGGTTGCCGTACAACAGCGTCTCCTGTTCCGCCGCATCGTTTGGTGCAGGCAATCGAAGCTTACGCTTTCTGAACGCGGCGACGAGGACCTGCACGACGCCGGAGAAGACACTGCCCTCCGGCGGCACGAACACGTAAAGCCTGATCCCGGCGAAGAAGAAGATGATGGCGAGGAGCATCAGCGCCGTTGGGATGCCAAACCCCAGCGGCCAGCTGACACTGTCTTGGATGTAGACGACGGCTGTCATGGCCACCACCGTTGCGGCGGTCGAGATGGAGTAGTACCAGTTGAAAAAACTGTTGAGGCCGCGCCGCCCTTGATCTGTGCTACGATCAAATTGGTCGACGCCGAAAGGTAGGCTGCAGGGGCGAACGCCGCCGGCGCCGAGGACTAGGAGGGCCAGGGACAAGAATAGTATGGCCAAATGAGCGCCGGAGGGACCCAAGGGTTGCCCGGATTCCTCATCTACCGGTGGCCGGAGTTGAGGAACTGCTGCCGTCAAAGTCAGCACTACCATTCCCTGCAGCAATCATTGGATCGATCAAATAAGATTCCATGTCTAAATCACCGAAATACTTCTTAATTATTATTCGCTACTTTTTGTCGAACACAAATCCCATTGCTGTCGAAAGAAAAAAAATTATCAGCAAAATTTCCAATAATTATTTATTCTCAAAAATAATAAAATAATAAAATAAATTCCTCAAAGAAAACCTTAATTTTTTATTACTTTTAAATTTATTCCCATAAAACGTCTATTAATTATTAAAAGATTATATTTATTATCCACAATCACCGGCAACAATTTTTCGGGCCCAAATAAATATCTATACATTAATGTTGCTCCTGCTCCAACGGGCTTTGGACGTGAAACATGTGGCGTTGTAGAAAAGATCTTAAGATCATTAATGCCTTCGACAAGAGGTAGGAAGGGAAGGGGACAAGAAGCTAACAGAAGGTAAATAAGTTTGAACCGAAGGATAGATCTGTAGCAGATGGAATCCTACCACTTCGTGAATACTGAGTACTAGTCATTACCCTGTAATCGAGGGCATTCAATAATTGTGGTCGAGAGGTTCAAACTCCCAAACAAGGACACCGCGGGCAATGTCCGGTGTACGGTTCATTGGATCTCCCGATCCAAGGAAGCGAGAGAGAGAGATGTGTTCATGGAGAGAATGCCGATCCAAGTGATTCAGTTTATTGCATTGCGGATGAATTCAGTGTAGGATTGGAGGAGGAGAAGGGAGAGAAGAGGAGGCATGCACCAGGAAGGTGGTCACCGAGGCGTAGGCGAGGGTGCGGAACCGGCCCCAGTAGGCGTCGGAGACGAAGGCGCCGAGGAGCGGCGCGGCGTTGCTGGTGCCGGAGAAGATGTTGCACAAGTTGGCGGCCGCCATCTGCCTCATGCCGTACTGCTCCACCAGGTACACAATGAAGTTGGCCGTCAGGCCGTAGGTCGCCACCCGCTCGAACGCCTCGTTCCCTGGCGGCATGCAAGTTTAATTTCACGCACACGCACATGGCACGCAAGGAGAAAGAAGTGAGGAAGAAGAGTTCCGGTACGTGCCTATGATGAACGGCATCGACTTCCATCCTCCAGGCTTCCTCTCTTCTCGGCCGGTCTCGTCGGAGGCGGCTCCGGCACCGTCGAGAAGCAGTGGGTTGTGATCCATGGAACTGTCAGTCCGACTGCTCTTGCTCGACCTCTTCCATAGCCTCACTCCGGCATTTATGCTAGAGAGAGAGAGAGAGAGAGAGAGGAAGTGCAGATCGAGGCAGTCATTAACGAGGAGTTACCGAGGTTGAAGCCGGGGTTACATTTAACCTGCATTTAATCTTCTAAATTTCCACTTGCCAGTGCAAATGATTCCATGCTGCGATAATAATTTGTGGAGGAAAGATTCTTTTGTCCGATCTGTACAGATATCAGAGGTAGCGCGAGAGCAGCACTAGTATCCAAAGATGTGAAATGACAAGAGAAAGAACAGATGTGGCCGGTCCGGCAGAAGAGACAAGGAACAGTGAAGTGTTTGTCTCTAAGTTGAAGCAGAATCATCTCTAAAAAATAATCCTCAAGATAAGAAGAAAAGCCTCTAAAATTTTGAATTGATCTATAATGATTTGAGAGCTCTTCTGTGGTCTCAATCAACTTGCTCTCATGTAACTCATATCTCTTCACCTTGGGAATCAGCAAGTCATGTCCCTTGGAGCCTTTAAATCGGCAAGTCATATCACAAGGCAAAGATCTGGTGATATGTATATGTTTGGTTTTATGTAGCAAGTCATCTGCCTTGGAGTCTTAAATCAATTTGCTTCATGCAAAGGTCATGTTTGTTTTGCTTTCATGAAGCAAGTCATGTATCTTGTGGTAGATGATGCACAATCTCTTATTTGCTTTCATGCTCATCTTTCCTCGCTTTAGGAAGACTTGAAACATATGTTTGCTATCATGCAGCAAGGAAGACCTGTAACATGCATTTTGATTCCATGCACCAACTCAATTTAATCTCTTATTCTGCTTTCATGCAGCAGCTCATAATTCTTATGAACTCTTAAACAGTCTCAAATCACTTTGCTTCGTGCACATCTCTCTCTCTCTCTCACTTACATATGTTTGCTTGCATGCAGCAAGTCATGCGTTTAAGTGCTCAGGTTGGTAGTGTCCTAACTATATTTAAATTAATGTATTAATTTTTAATTATATTAATTTTTTAAATAAATTAAAATTATTTCTATAAATATATACTGAGTCTCAATATTTTTATTTAGAAAAAGATAAATCACTTAAGAAGATGCTCATAAGAATGATCTTAGGAGTTTTAAGAAACAGTAGAGAGAGATTTGATGTTTATGTAAGAGGTGAATAAGGTAGATCGTACTCGAGTTAGGATAATTCAAAAGTTTTATAATTGATTTCATAAATTAAAAAAAATTAATTTCCTTGATAAATAAGATTTATCGAATGTTAATCTTGGTTAACTTTTTGATATGATTTTGATCGTCGATCTATGAGTATTATCTTTTAGTTTTGATAATTTTTCTCCCTCTCAATAAAGTGGTATCATAGCCTAAAAAATCGATTGGCCAAAGATTTAATAAGGATAAGTTATGAAAATTTGATGAAATATGAATCAAAATTATTTTCCCTTTAGGAGATACAAAAGTGAACAAAAATACGCGAGAGATTATTGGGATCGGTATATATTTTAGAATTCCTGAAATTAGTATTCAAATGGGATAAGAAATCATAATACAAGAAAAAATTTGTGTGACAAAAAGGAAACTTAATAATTAGGGTTTGGTTATTCTATAAATATTTCATGTATTTATGGATTTTGACGAGGGATAGCAAGATATACGGAATATTTTTTGTATTATTAGATTTTTCTTTAGCCTGATATTTTATATTGATTATAAAGAGGGGAGATAAAATAATATATATTTTTCATAATTTATGTGAGATGGTTTATAAGGAAATCATGTTTAAGTAGTGATATTTTTAAATTTTGATAATTGATAAATATGATAACATATATGGTGAGATATTAATTGCTCAAGGTATAGGTTGACGAGGAAGGTTTTTTGATAATAATAAATTGTAAAGTGATATGTTGAGATCAAAAGTCAGGTCTTTGGATGATGTTCAGTGGTATATATATATATATATATATATATATATATATATATATATATATATATATATATATATATATTATCGATGAGTGTATTTTTATCATGAAAATATCTTTATAATACTTGCTCACGATGCAAAAAAAATAAGATTGATATTCATAATTTTCAAAAACAAAAATCATTTTTTATCCCATTTTGATTAAATTTGTTGTTTGTTTAGAGGTAATCGCATCACATGGTGGAGCCCACAATTATCAACCAATAGCCGTTTCCCAGTCGGTGGTTCCCACGTCGGCCCGTAATCGGATGCCACGTGGTCGGCCGTCTACGTGCTGACGTGTGTGTACACGGCGTTTCCTCTTTGATCCGTTACGGCACGAATCAACTCGTATCCTTCCACCCTTTCACTGTAAAATAATAATTTTTCCCCCAACAGCTCCACCAGCCTTCCTTTTCTTCCCCTCTCTCTCCGCACGCCGTCCCACTCCGCGGCCACCGGCTTCACTTCTCTCCACCAGGCCATTCACGATGCTCCTTCTGGCGGCGATCTAATCGTGCCCGCGATCCCCACGATGCCTCCTTTTCCCTCCCTATCGCGGCGATTGTAGGGGGATCTGTTCCTTGTATTTGGCCGTGGATTGGGGATCGGACTTGAGAATTGTTGGAGTTTGTTGGCGGGTGGGGAGGGATCTGATCGGTTGGGTTTAGATCGCGGGGATGGCTTCGGCGAAGTCGTCTCGATCTAGGGCTTCGGCCCCGTCTGGGCAGGTCGCCGCTGGAGTGCCCCATGCGAATGGGGGCGGCGCCGGGCAGGAGGCTGGGGTCCAGCTCGCCGACAAGCTGAAGATCTTCAAGACCGATAATTTCGACCCCGATGCCTACGTGCAGTCGAAATGCCAGAGCATGAACGAAAAGGTCCGGTGTTTTCTTTGTTAGAATTCGGTGCCGTTGGTTCTTTAAGCAAATTTCACCCTGAATATTTCCTTTCTTTCAAATAGTCTTTTGTTTGCATTATCTTTCATTTGATTGGCCATATCGATCTATGAGGTGCTGCCGTTGTGGATTTGCATGGTCCCTAAGAGGCTATGTTGTTGTTGGGGGATGGTGAATGATTCTGACTCACCTTTTTTTCGAACTTATTAAGTTTTCCCTGTGCGTCCATCACAATTCTTCACCAACCAACTAGTTTATTATCGAATGTATTATTCTTTCGGCCAAAAGCTTTTAGCAGAATGGATATTTCTGGATGCATTAACTGGTTATGATTTTACTTGCCTGATTGGTTGATTAAGGAGGAAAATGAGGACCCTAAATGAATTGTCTTATTAATTGAAGAAAATCCTTCTTCTTTTGAAGGCCTATCTCTTGTATGGTATTGCATGATTCCATTATGAAAGAACTTCCAGGTTCGTGTCAATGATTTTGATCAAGTTCCCTTGGGTCTCCCCCTCTCTCTTTTGAATCATTAATTTGAATAATCTTTAGAGCCATTTAACTTGCCGAGCGTTAGTTGGTGAAATGCATTTCTCATTTTCCACAAGCATTAATATGTGCATCCTTACCCTTACAAGTACATAGGCTGTTTTTGTGACCTCGGTCACCTAGGTCACAAACGGTTGCATGGCACCATTACATGGATTTAGGATTCTAAATTGTGGTTGTTTATTAGCTTATGCATGTAGTTCAACAAGAAGCACGTGCTTGTTGGTCACAGTGCCTTACAAGCTCTTGCCCTTGATCTCCTCCACATTCTCTTTCTTTTTGTCCCTGGCTCTTCTATCCTTCCTTCCAATTTTTTTAAAACAAAAAATTACTGTTGTATAATATAATCAAGCATTATAAGCTCTATATGGTGTGTCTAAGCTATTACTTTCTTTTCATAGATTCTTGTTATTATTTGGTAATTGAAAATTTCCCTTTGAAGTAAATTCTACTGGAGTCTTAGTCGAAAGTAATTTAATTAAAGCTTGTTTAAGCATATATAATACAATATGATTTCTTACTTGTTCTATTACTCTATGAAGGAAATAAAACAACTATGCAATTATTTACAAGATTTAAAGAGGGCTTCTGCAGAAGAAATGCGTAAAAGTGTCTATGCAAACTATGCGGCATTTATAAGGTGAGTTATAATATTCGTTATTTTCATTATATTGTATTGTTTTTTCATGGAACCTATCAACTGGAATCATACCACTAGCTTTTGCAAGATTAAGTTTCTTTTTATATTCTCACTGTTGCTTTAAAAATAATGAATGTTCTTTTCCTTAGCAACTTGTAATGTATGGGTCTTCTTGCTTGGGCAATGACATTTGAATATCTGTATAGTTCTTTGTTTTTCTTCTTATTTTGAAAGTGAAGAGTTTCGGAAGTTCATGGTGTTGAAGAAAAGGAATGTTGACAGAAATAATTGAACTTTATGATCTGCTGGTGCAATAGTCTTGACTATAGCAAAATGATTATGATGCCTAGTGGGGAAGCCATCGAATGAACCTTACATATGGATTAGCCACTGTTTTTCTTCTAAAAGTCAATCATGAGCAAAACCTTCTTCTTTAGTGAATATTTATATATCAATTTCAAGGTTATTATTTAGATGGTTTATTCCATATTACGAGACCATGTAGAATACTGGCATTAGGTAGACACATAAGGAAACAGAGAAAATGGAAATAAATACTAACCCGAGTTTTAGGTGGTGCGATTTAAAACTGGAAATATAATGCAGCGAAAATCAGAAAGGAACTTAAGGAATATATCAAATTGGCAGGAAAAATTATTAGAATCATGTAAAATATATGTTCTTTTTGTCATGGTTCATCTTATTGGTTCGTACCAGTGTACCGACCGACCGTTAGTATAGTACTTATTGAGCCGTACTGATATATCAACAGATGGTATGGTGGGGCATACTGACAGACTAGTATGTACTGCCCATATCGATCCTCTGTCAAACCAGTATATACCACCCGTACTGAGCCGTATGCTGCGGTATGGTGAACCTTGCTTTTTGTTTTGTGTTGTTGAGTTCGTTTTGCTTCCTTGATGTGTGCTTTACCTGATTATACAACACGAACAAGTTATAAGTATTGATGCAAACTCTTTGTGCGTTTAACATGCCAAATACAGAACATCAAAGGAAATATCAGATCTGGAAGGCGAGCTTTTGTCTATAAAGAATCTTTTAGGAGCTCAGACAGGTTTAATTCATGGTTTAGCTGAAGGTGTTAACATTGATTCCCTGTCTGCTGGTTCTGAGAGCATAAGAGAAAATGACATCTCAAATGTGGAAGACCGAGAACCTTCAGATCTAGAAAAATGGGTAGAGGAGTTTCCCGATATGCTGGAAGTTCTGCTGGCTGAAAGGAGAGTTGATGAAGCTTTGGATGCTCTGGATGAAGCAGAACATCTAGTTATAGATGCAAAACAAAAGCAAACTGTGGGTACTGCTGAACTTTCATCATTGCAGAATGCTATTTCTGAACATCGTCAGAAGTTAGCTGATCAACTTGCTGAGGCTGCTTGTCAATCTTCTACCCACGGTGTTGAACTTCGTGCTGCCGCTGCTGCTCTCAAAAGACTTGGCGATGGTCCACGGGCTCACAGTTTGCTGCTTAGTGCTCATTACCAGAGGCTTCAGTACAATATGCAAGTTATTCATCCTACTAGTACTTCATATGGAGGAGCATATACTGCTGCTCTGTCACAGCAAGTATTTTCTGCCATTGGTCAGGCTCTGAACGACTCTCAATCTGTCTTTGGGGATGAGTATGCATCAGAACTGGTCATATGGTCTACAAAGCGAGCAGAGGCCTTTTCACATCTTGTAAAGAGGCATGCATTAGCTTCATCGGCAGCAGCTGGAGGGTTACGAGCTGCTGCAGAATGTGTGCAGATAGCCATTGGACATTGTTCCATGCTTGAAGCTCGTGGGAGATTGTCACTTTCTTCTGTTCTTCTGAAACTATTTAGGCCTAGTGTTGAGCAAGCATTAAATGCTAATTTAAAAAGAATTGAAGAGAGTACTGCTGCCTTAGCAGCTGCAGATGATTGGGTACTTACTTATCCACCTACAGGTGCACGCACATCAAATAGAATATCTTCTACAGTTGTGGGTATCCAACCCAAACTTTCAAGCAGTGCACATCGCTTCTATTCAATGGTTCAGGTGACTTATATTTACACTGGGATTAGTGATTTTCCAAGTTTCTTCTTTTCATGTCAGTTTAATTTTGTTTGACTTTGCACGATGATATGGTTTTTGAGTACGTATGATATGGTTTCAACTTTCAAGATTATTTACACATGAACAAGCAAAAGCTAATATATATGTTTATACTCTATACCTACAGAGAGATATAGAGTGCTCACCTTCCTTTTAGTTTCTGATGGTCCAATTTATTTCTGTTTCTGAACAACTGAAAAATTGGAGCTATTAGAAATAACTCTTTGGATTACATCTCTCTCTCTCCATTCTTCCCTGCCCTTCCACTCCCCCCTTCTCTCTCCCCCCCCCTTCATGCCATTTTCTCAATAATATATGGTGATGTTGCTTGTAGTATGGGTGTTTCTTTATACTTTATAATATTGGCTCTTTTTTTGTCTTTCCCGACTTAAAGTAATCATCATGTGTTAGAAATTCTTAGCTGTTATCTTAATTGTACATTTTGTTAATACATAAGGTTGCCTAGTAAATTACATATCTTCTTCTGTTACATGACGTACACTGGTGTACCTCTATGAATATGGTGTCATACTGGAGCATTCTGCATTTATGCAGACACAATTTGAATGTAGCCGTCTGCAATACTGCAAGTTGAGTCTTATAATGGGTAATGTTATGTGAATTTGTTAATTCATGCACGAACAGAATTGATCCTAAATGAACTGATCTATTACCTTTAATATTATATTGCTCTGATTGTCTGAACATGAAGGCAAATGAGAAGGCAGACCGAGAGTATAGGAACAAAGGGAAGAGGTGAGATTTAGGTATTGAGTGCACTTTATATTCCAAATCTGGTGAATCAAATGGTTGTTCTCTTATTATATTGCTCGCCATTGTTTGACAAATTTATCGTTTTTACTAATATTATTAGTGCATAAACAATTATACGTGCCTTAATATTACTATATTGAATGTTTCTATTATTGGTCAAACTGGTATGTGTTATTAGTGGTTCAACCAAGATCCAATATCCCATCATAAAACTCAGTACCAGTCTATATTTTTCATTATTCTTTTGTGGTGCCAAGCTATACAGGTTGGTGTACTGGTTGGTATACCAGTATCCTACCAGTTTGAAAGGTGTTGAATCCAGTATTTGACAAAAATTTAAAACTTGAATCCATTTACCATTAAGATAGATTATTATTTAAAATAATCCATCCCAGTTTAGTAGACTGACATGTACAAGAAGCAAACAGATACTTTCAATTTATTTTAAATGATGTATATTATATTTCTTCCTTCTGTGTGATGGCTATGTTGTTCTGTGGGTATTATGCTGCACACGCCAGCCAGAGGTTGCACTAAGCTAAGCTGGGATTGGGGGAACAACATTCTGTTTTCTGAATCAACTATCTATGCCCTGGTCTATAAGGCCTGGTGCATAATAGACAAGATACTAGTAGTTGGCATGTTGATGCATGCAAAGGACATGAGGAAAGTAGCATCATATTGTCTGGTGCCATATGAAAAATAATCAGATCGAACCATTTCATCAACTTTATTTGTGGTGTGCATTCTATTAGATGATTTAAGTATGTTTCATGGTTATGACTCCATCAAACTCGATGCAGTAGGATTAGTCCAGACTTGCTATTATATTTCTCGCTTTTCCATTAAATTATATGTAAAATCATATATTCATGTTCATCTGTTCATAGTTGATTTCAAATAAATTTGCAGGATTTCTTTGAGGATGTAGGGCCACTTTTAAGCATGCAACTAGGGGGTTCCACTGTGGATGGTCTTTTAAAGGTCTTCAATTCATATATCGGTCTTCTGATAAACGCATTGCCAAGTTCAATAGAGGAGGAAGCAAATTTGGATGGTCCAGTAAACAAACTTGTTCGAATAGCAGAGACTGAAACACAACAATTAGGTTTATTAGCAAATGCATCTCTATTGGCAGAGGAGTTGCTCCCTCGAGCAGCAATGAAGCTTTCACCAATGTATCAGGCTGGTGGAATGGATGATTCTCGTAGACGAGGCTCAGATAGAAACACTCGTGTGCCAGAGCAAAGAGAATGGAAAAAAAAGCTGCAGCGATCTGTTGACAAGCTGCGAGATAGCTTTTGCAGGCAGCATGCACTTGATCTTATATTCACAGAAGATGGTGATAATAATCTAAGTGCAGAAATGTATATAAGCATGGATTTAAATTCTGACGAGCTAGAGTGGGCTCCTTCTCCAATATTTCAGGTATCTTAACCAGAATGTTTAGACATTTATCATGGGAGATGTTTCTTCCATTTTCAAGGTTACACTTGGATCCTTTTTTGGTTACGTAAACTTGCTCTATAGAATTTGCTTCAAGAAATATGGATGATTCCATCATTTTTTTATGTTTGGTTTATCAAACAATCCAATTCTGGATTACATTTGATGTTTTTTTTTCTTGAAAAATCCAAGTAATGTTGCATTGCATTACATCATGTAATACTTGAACAATACTTATCCTGTATTACTATATGCCACTGAAGGTACTTTGCTGCATGACAAAGTAATTCCTTTACAAGAGTCACAAATGTTGCTTCTTTCCATGTAGTGATTTCTGATTTTAAAACCCTCAATTTCAGCTTGTTAGTTATTTTCCAAAAGATCAGTAATATTTTAGTTCACTTAATAAAATAAGATCACAAATTATATAGAAAATTATTTGGAGAAAATAAAGCATAAACAATCATAAAAGTTTATTGGATGTCTTTTGGAATGGAATTAACATGGTTTCAAATGCCTTGTTATACTGATTGAACCATACCTGTCTAATAGTATCCTGATATACCACTGAATTGACCATTTTGGTTGATACTGACATATTAAACATTTTTAATCTTTTGTTAATGTACCAAGGCATACCATATATTACCAGTTAATATGTACCTAACAGATGAGATTACGATATGTGCATTAGTATCGGTTACTAGAACTTGATCACTCATGTAAGTTATCTTTTACTGTATCACCTATTCTCATGGTTTAATGAGAGAGAATGATGGATTAGATATTTGTGATTTTTAGTTAGTAAGTTGGTGAAGCTTGTATTAAAGTATCTAAAATTTGCACTTTGTTGTAAAAGAGTCCTTCATAGGCTGATGTGCACCTGGTTATAAAATTGGTAGCTTATACATGTTTCTCTTCAGGCTGGTTTTCCAAAAATCTAAATGCTCCTAACTACTGTATTTGCTTAGGAACTATATGCCAAATTGAATCGAATGGCAAGCGTTGCCTCAGATATGTTTGTTGGTAGGGAAAGATTTGCTACCTTGTTGATGATGAGACTCACAGAGACAGTCATACTATGGCTTTCAGAAGATCAGAGCTTCTGGGAGGAAATTGAAGAGGGAGACAGACCTTTGGGTCCCCTTGGCCTTCAGCAGGTCTAGATCCTGTTTTCCTTAACATATATTTTGTATTACTATGGACAATCAGAAACTTCTTATCTTCTATTACTTTTTAATGTCGACTTGTTTTTCCTTTCCTGCAGTTTTATCTAGATATGCAATTTATAATTCTTTTTGGAAAAGGCCGTTTCTTGTCTCGAAATGTGCATCAAGTTGTTATCGACATCATTGAAAGAGCTATGGCTGCATTTTCTGCAACTGGAATGGATCCAGATAGGTGAGTTATCTAGTGACTGCAGCACTGGTACAAGTATTTTTCTTGTTTTTGCTCTTTTTTTTCCTGTTACTCTATGTATAAACTGTTAGAGGGTCATATTTTACATTTGTTAAGCATATATTTATCCTGTATGTGATAAATTTTATTTTGGTGATGGCTAACTAATTTCCATTTACTATATGTAATCCTACTATGGTAGTTTTACCAGCAACACTAAATTGAAACATCTTGATCAAGAGAGAGGTTCTCGATGCAATTGGTGAGGAAAAAGAATGAAAAAAAAGGACTCGATGAATGGCCAATGTACAAGATCAACAAAATGTTCAGCATGGTCTCTGATACCAAATTTTCCAACCTTACCATACTGGCCTAGAGGCGTGTCAACCATACCAAACAGTGCCAATGTACCAACTATACCAATTCGTATGTACCGGTATGGGTGTCAATATCTAAAACCTGTGTCTAGGCCCATCAGGAAGTCAGTTAAGGATGCCAGCAGTAGTAATTGAAGTATTTTAATAGTTAAACATAGGTGCTAGAAAAGTAAAGATATGTTCAATTCAGTTTGGCCCTAACTCCCTCCAAAAACTAACGTATAATACAATTCCTATGTTTAACTATTATGAGGAATTTAAGTTCATAAAACCCTTTTGAATAACAAATTGTTAAATGGGTTCCAGTGTGGTTGATGGTCTCAGACATCCTTCTCTATTGTAGATATCATGCAGTGGCCTCATATTCCTAGTTTTATATACAACATGCATTTCATAAAGTTGTTCCTAAGATTGCTTTTAGGCCTTGTTTGGTCAAGCTAACATCTGAGTTTCATGCAGTACTCTTCCAAACGATGACTGGTTCTTTGAAGTTGCTCAAGAAACTATAAGTAGGATAAGCGGTAGAACAAGGGTTGGCAATGGAGAGAGAGAAACAAACAGCCCAACTGCATCCATCTCGGCACAATCCATATCGTCATTCAGATCTCATGGGAGCTTGTAGCGTGCATCTTTTCTTGCAGACAGGTTCTTGTATAATAAGCAGCATTGCGCTCTGTGTGTTTGTCTTAGATGATTATGGTTTATGTCAGCAAGTCATCTAATTTTTGGAGTTTGCATATGTATTTATTGCTTTTTCTTATACAGTCCAAAGTCCAGCTTGTACCATTCTTTTCACTCATTCATTCATTCATTTTCCGTCATGAGAGGACAAGTGGAATGTGTTGGCTGCGCACTATAATGCTCCCCATAGTTCTATTTGCTTCTGGATGTGTGTTTCACCCGTTGATGGTGTCTTGTAGACACTGCTTGTGGTTGTAGCTGTAGTCTTTGGAATGAAATGTTTAAGCATGAAGGAAGGAACATAGGATTACTACACTGTATTCAATAGCACAATAGTTAATTTAACTAGCAGTGTAGCAGATGGAATAGATTAACTGGAGACTTGCTGTTGTAATCTTAATAGAACTATTGGCTGCAGTTGGGATGCTGCTATTATCCTCTACCAGATGGAAAATATCATCATTTCATATACATGTCTTTCTCGAAGAGAAATAGACAATGGGTTTGTGGCCGTGAAATGGAAGAGGAATAGGTATTTGGACGGGTATGTATACCCATCGGTGTCGGGCAGTATTCGAAGCCTCGTTTGTTTGGATCAAGTCGATTTAATTATTGGATAAACCAAACGGTTCGAAACTACGGAAAAATAAGAGAAAAAATAAAAAAATAAAAACCACCGGCGAACAACCCGTCGCGGAAGACACACGTTCTTCACGCCTTTCGAAGGCGTGAAAGGCATTCGGTTTTCGAGTACTATTTGAACACATCGACCGTGTCGAGAGAGAGAGAGAGAGAGAGAGAGATGGGGATGCTGGCAGCGATGGTGACGCATCCCGACGAGGTGTACCCGATGGTGAAGCTGAAGCTGGCGTCCGACCGGATCCGGCGCCAGATCCCGGCGGAGCCCCACTGGTCCTTCTCCTACTCCATGCTCCAGAAGGTCTCCCGCAGCTTCGCCCTCGTCATCCAGCAACTGGAACCCCAGCTCCGCGACGCCGTGCGTACCCACCTTCCCTTCTTCCCCCCCCGCCCTTTCCTCGATCCGTCCCCTCTCGCTCGCTCTCCTGTTCGTTGCTTCGTTTCTTGCGACGATCGGATTTTTCTGCTTCATGCCTTTTTCAGATTTACATGTTCTTCTCATGTTTCTTTGACGAATACCCAAGTGCGAATCACATCAGTCGTGTCTATGGAGATGTGCTAGAAACCATGCTGCTAATTTCTCAGGAATGCGGTTAGGTTTTCTCCTTTCAACTATGTGTTTGAACGTGTGGTCGTGGTTATGCAACCGCATTGCTTGTCGCCTCGAATACACGAGTATGTTTGTAATGGCTATAAGGCGGCTTGAAACTAGAATCAAATATGCAGTCCCTGAAGTCAAATAAAATATGAGCCAAGTGTGTGGGTTATCAATCCCTATGTACTTCGGTTCGCCTATTTCGACCGCTATGCTCTGCTACCAACAGTATCGTTATTGTGCTATAATACATGGGATATTATTGTTATTGTATCGATTTGTGAAGTCTTATTACTAATCGAAGCAATTATTGGACCTGCTATTCCTTGATCCTTCCGATTACTGGAATGAAGTGCATCAGATTTCTAGGACACTGTTCAGATTTGCAGTCGAACCTGATAGAAGAATGTGATCCGTCTATGGACCTACTGTCCACAATTTTGTTGATCATAAACATGAGGTTTACAGTTAAAATTTGGAAATAAGCTATGAGCCTCTTTTAATTTCATGTAGAATACATATGATTTGCATTTGTAGGAAGATTTGGTCCGTCACATAGTCTTGCTTATTATGGATATTGATGTCATAGATGGAAGGTCTTTGAGCTGATGTATGTAGATATACTTACCACATGGCAAGTGTGTGAGGGTTTTATTGGTGTACAACTTTTTTATACCCATGTAAATATATCTGCACTTCCTGTATGTGCAATCGCATATATTCTTGTATTTTTATACGTGTATATGTTTGTAGGTGCACACATCACCTTTACATTTACTATAAATATTCTCTTGCCGTACATAACTTTGTCGAACTTTTAATTAAAACTGCAGTTGTTTGCTAACAATATTGTCTTCATTGATGAAAGTTTGGTTAAAATAAATTCTAAGTCTGAATTATTGAACTATTGTGACAAATGCTAAAAGTTTTTACACTAAGAAGGACAAATGCTAAACTCTGTAGTTTTTACACTAAGAAGGACTGGGACCAAATGTCTAAAATGCAATTTTAGCGATATTAAGAGAATAACTGTTAGGTAGTGATGATGAATAGAAAAGAAGTTCTTATAATTAGAATTTTTAGGTATCCTAGATCTATTCTTTGACAAGGAGTTTTGGAGAAATGTTTTTATACTAAGTAGGATTAACACTAAATGTATTAAATGGAAATATTGTGTTACCAGTAGAAGAATTGAGTGTGCAGTTAAGATAAATGGAAAAATGGTTACAGTAACCAAAATTTCTAGCTATCTTAGATCTGTTATTCAATGGGAAGGAAATATTGATGAAGACATCCTTCATATAGCCAAAGCAAGGTGATTGAAATAGAAGGGGCATCACTTTTGATTAAAATAAAATTTCATAACTACTATCAAGAGACAATATAAATAAAAAGATGAGCATCGTGTATTTATTGAGGTAAATTTATGGAGGGACTGAAAAACAAAATAAGAAATTGTCATCCATAATCAATTAGGTGTAGCCATAATAGAAGATAAAGTGAGCGAAAAACATTTGAGATGAAATGGACATGTTTAAAAGTGTCATATAGATGTCATAGTTCGACATGTTAGTGGTAATGGTACACTAAGAGATAGGTGAAGATCTAAGAGAATTTATCTAGAAACAACAGAAGTGATTTAATTGGTCTTTTACTTAACTATGGAAGTATGGATATTCCCCTATATAGAGCTCAATGGTGGGAAAAAAATCCACTCAAATAGTTGAGACATTATGGCTTGTTGTTGCCACTTCTCTTGTCAAAGTTGACCCATAAATGACAGAAAAAGCAGTCAGATAAAGACCTGTATTTTTTGTATATCATAGTTGAGTAGATTATAAAGTATCAATTTTACAAATGCATCTGCTCTTATTTTTCTGTTCCAAAATCTTCAATTTTTTAAGACTTTTTCCTTGACATATAGTGTTCTTGATTAATTTAATATCCTTATATTCTGCTTTTGTAGGTTTGTGTTTTCTATCTGGTGCTCAGAGCCCTCGATACTGTTGGTTTGTTCTGTGCCTCTTATTGCGTAATATATTATTTGTCTCCAAATTATGCATTCACCTTTTATGTCCAAGGAGGCATGAGTTGAGATGAAGCTTCTGTTACTGATAACCATGGCCAACGCTGCCATATATTGTGAACAAGATGAAATTATGGCTTTAGGAATTATACTGCTTCTGTGAACAAGATGAACAAGCTTCTGTTATTTTGTGCATGTAGAATTATACTGCTGAAAAAATATGGCTTTAGGAATTCTGTTTCCTAGCTGACTACCACATTGCTCAAAGAAATTTTACTTTACTGAAGAACTTGGATTTGCAGTTTTACCAAGTGAAGGAGAAAGCAGGTACTCATCCAACATTGGTCAAGTTGTATAATTAATATTGAACATTTATAAGTTGTGAATATGAAACATAAAATTTCAGTCAATCAGATAATTACTGATTTTGCAGTTTCTTGAAACTGGCTTGCACAACTTAATGCCCAAACAAATGATTTAACAATTGGACTTTGATAAAGATTTTAAAAAAGTTCTTGGAAATGATGCTATATATGCAGCTCTTTGATGTCTTTTATAATCCACCTATATAGAGGGTGGGCCTTGGAACAATGGTGCATATCGGAACGGGATGAGCTAATGCAATAAATCAAAATTGTAAACAGAAACAAAGTTCTCTACATAAGTTAACAAGCTTAAAAACAAATTGGCTGATCTTACTGCTAGTCCTGATCCAGTGATTTTAAATACAGTATTCTGTAGAGAACTTTTATAAAAAAACATCTTGCTTTCATTTTTTGCCAAATTTGCATCACATTATGCAATTAGTTTGAAGACATGCACCCATATCGTGTTAATGGAATATGCAGATTTTTCGACACTTGTCAGCTTGGTATATTCCTGATAAATTTTGAAGGTTGACCTCTTCATATAACTTGTATCCTAACAAAATTGCAGAAGATGATACGAGCATACCTTCTGACATCAAAGTGCCAATTCTGCAGAACTTTTATCTCCACATCTATGATCGCAAATGGCATTTTTCATGTAAGGGTATCTTCTAATTGAACTTTTTGGTCATCCTTCATCTTGTGTGTCAATTTTTGAATATTATAAAGTTTTTAATATACATCATATCTACTTTCTAGATATGTGTTTCTTCCTTACACATATTATGAAAATGAACTGTTTATTTTGTATGATATGTAGGCAGTTTTCAGCAATCTAAATTATTCCTTTGTGGGTTATTGATTTCTGACTAGAGGATGCTATTCTGATGACACTGCAAATTGGGTCCTCTCTGATTCAATTTTAAATGAATTGCCTACTCGTACAAGTCATGTCCATTGGACCAAACACAGTTTGTGAATCAAGTGTCAGTATTACCATCCATTTTAAATATGACTATCTGATAAAATTGGAGAAGATCAAGTGATTGACACAATCATCTCATGGTTGAGAGACTCTTTAGGGTTTCCATTTGAGAACAAATAAATTTAAAAAATATATTAATTTGAGAGAATATCCTATTTTAACTAGGTAAGAATGATGTATTCTGATTTAAAAATTAAATACAAATTAAGTATCAATTAGTTGGAAAAAATAGAATCATTGACATTGTTTAATTTATGTTTCGCATGTGTACATTAGATTTCTGTATATTATGTCAACATTTAAATTTAACATAAACAACTTTTTCTATTATTATTTCTTGAAACATTTTATTTTTATTTTTTGTATCTGATGTTGATGCAATTGATCTGGTGTCGTTGATCATGATCCTAAGCCCATGTCAATGTTGATCCTGTGAACCTTGGGATAGACTTATTATACTGCCTCCTTAGAATTATACAATTCCTTTTGTTGGAATGTTCAATTAGTTACATATGCTTATGTTTGGCTTTAACATTCCCTAGTTTACTAGAAACTAAAATGCACATTCACAT